TGCTAGCATGAAGCACTAAACCCTGGGGAAGATTTGGAAATGGAGTACTAAAATAATATTGGGACAAAAATATGAATTTCATGGAATATGTTACATCCCTGTTTTTAAAAATCTATATCACCCATGCTGAATTTAATGCATTGTTTTCAAACTGAACAGACCTCATGTTGGGGATAAAAGCAGGCTGCAAAGTTGCTTTACTTGTCACCCACTTTGCTTTCAAATTGGGTATTCAAAGCACGTGGGATCACATGTTTCTGCTTCAAGGCTGCACGTACAGGAAACGAAAGCCCTCGACACAGCTTGGTAGCTAGCAGAGGATCCAAATCAGAGTAAATTGTATAAATTATAACTAAATTGCCAAGCATTTGGACAAAGCAGGCATGCTAGTCTAATCAAGAAAGTGGTGATATTTACTTTTTGATAATGCAGGTTGGAAGCGGAATTGGGGGAGGGAGGCATCACAAATCTCTTTTAATATATTTCTGAACTTGGCAACCTGAACTAGTTTTGTCACATATTTGCAGCTTAAAAAGTATTTGGCTTTTACAACAGCCAAAATAAGTATCCTTTAATCACTTTCAACCTATGAACAGATGGGCAAACAGTGCTTTTATAAATGGAGCATACAAAATACTTCAATATCAGCCAAAACTAATTAGTAGCAATATCTGAACCAAACTCTAAAACTGATTTAGTGTTTAATATATATTATCATATAAGCGTTAGCAGTTGAAAGGAAATTCCCTGTTCAAATATTTGCCAAGCTCAGTGTCTAATGTTCAGACATGATTAACTTACTAATTAACTTATTCTATCTTTTCTCACATATAATCTTGCTTAATGATTTCTTCTCACAGAAAACTGTTAGGTTTTTAAAATCTTGGTCATAGATTTGTCAAACATCGAGTGAAAACATCAAATTTAGCTATTCAGACCTGGTCTTTCCACCTTTATTAGGGTGACATTAAGAATTGGCTTCAAGACTAGGGGAAGTATCTTCAGTGGTGAAAGCATTCCTTCCTTCATAAATATTTTTTAAAAGAGTTTTTTAGAGACTCTTTAGTGCTAAGAATCTATAAAATTGATTATTGTGCCTCAGATATCTGTGAATAAATGGGGAAATGGATGTCAGTTGTGTGGTTGAAAGACAGAATTAGAATTTTGGTGCTGAACATAATGTGATATATTCACATGCAAGTATTGGTTTATAATGATGGACACCTATATAATATATGATTCAGTGTTACTTCAAAAAATTAAAAGAAGAAAATAATTACATTTGTGAGTAAGCACAGGATAGTTCTTACTGATTCCTAAGTCAGAGGTGGTTACTTGATCGTCATATATGTCACAGTCACAATATATTTCCCAGATCTGATCTATTTTCTGCTCATTTAATCCTTGTAGGAAGTTGACCATTTCTGTAATGGAGTCAGTATATATGGTATGACTGTATCTTTTCAGTACTATTTAAAACAAAAGGACAAAAATCTAAAGTTAATCCCCTAAATTATCCCAACCCTCGAGGTTTGGAGATTGTCAATGCCAACCTTTCTGAAGTATGACATAATTTTTCCTTTCATGATTCTATCACATGCAAGACAAGGAGGGCTTTGAATTTTGACTGTGCTAATTACGACTTCATAATCTTGGGAAGTCACAAAATTTCTCTAAGCATCAGTTATATAAAATTAGAATAGTGACATTTACCCAATGAGGTGATTTTGAGGATTAAAGGAGAAAATTGGTCTGAAGTAAACACTTAATAAAAGATTGCTGCTACTAATGTCACTGATGAATTTAATTATACTTTCCTTTTTTTAATACAATGAGCATTGGTCTATTTCAGAAAATCTGAACAAAAGAGGAAGAAATGAACAATCAATTTTCTTTACAACTATAGTTTCCTTTACAATGTAACATTTAATTAAAAGTTATGTTGGTTTTATTAGAGGAATTAATCAGAATCTATAAAGGCAGGTCCTGAGCAGGAGTTCCTTGAAAATACTTCTTAGGTGGTTCTGAGGCCATCTTTCAGAACCACTGCATTAGCAAGTCTCTAATCATACTTTGGCATGTTTCTTTCTGGCCTTCTATATGACTTTTAAAAAAATGTAATGTAGCTGTCATATAATACATATAATTTAATATCTCCATTCTTTGGATATAATTTTTTTTAAATCATAAGCACTTTCTGAAGAAACTACACAGTCTTCATAAGTATCGCTTTCATGACCTCATAGTGTTGGGTATAATGCAATTTAAAAAATATTTATTTCAAAATTTCATCATAAATGAAAACTATAATAGATTTCCTCGTATGCACAGCTTTTTTTTTTAAGATTCTATTTCTTTTGGAGATTAGTGATAGAGTGAATTGCCTGTATTTGTTTATTACAGGGTAAGAGATGCCTTTTTCCCTTGTAAGATAATACATATACATTTACTCATGATGAAGGGTAGAGAAGTTGCTGGGTTGCTTTCTTAGTGCAACTTGGTTAAGTTGCACTCACAATGGAAAACTCTTTGAGCAAGTTTTGATTCAGTATCGTTACCTTGGGTTATTATTGGGTCAACTTTGTTAATATAGATAAATAAGAGGTATTGATTAAAACATAAAGATACCCAAATTAAAAAATTAGCAAAATTAGAATCATATGATGTTATGACATAAGAAACGTCTGTCCAAAAGGTTAATAAAGCTCTCCTATTGTCATATTCTTCATCACCATAGTCCCTTGTGCTCTATTTTTAACTCAAGAATCTACAAGCATTTTCTGGAGAAAGAATGAACCAACCAAACAGAAAAACAAAAGTATAGTTTAAGAATGTTGTATTTGGCTTCTTCCTTTATTTTGCACATAAAGAAAGGACTATTTTCATTTAAGTACATAGGCACAAAGAGTACTAACTGGCTCAGTTTTGTATCTTTAGCTATGATTCAAAAGTAAACATGGCCCAAAATTTTCTGTGCTTCAAGAAAACTCATTGTTTAGCGTGGACGCTTGGGTGTAGGAAGGCCACCAAGTCAAAAAGCATCTGCAAGAATACTTTTTATGAAAGTCTCTTGATCTGGAGCTGATGTAGTGGGCAAAAAGTTCTCTCTCAAATTAATTTAGCTATATTGATCTTCAAACAACACACAATACAGGAGATATGGCATCCTTTCAGAAAATATGAGAAGCTTCAAGACAAACTAATAGAAAAGATAAATGAAAAAGACACCCGGAAATAGATGACTGGATCAAGAAGATGTGGTACATATATACCATGGAATATTACTCTGCATTCAAAAAAGATAAACACATGCAATTTGCAGCAACATGGATGGCACTGGAAGGGATCATGCTCAGCGAAATAAGCCAAAAAGAAAAAGAAAAATACCGGATGGTCTCACTCATAGCAGGAATCTAGAAAACTTAAATAAGGGACCAGGAAAACGAGTAACTATAAGAAAGTGAAAATCAAAATCAACAAAAAACTACGAACCAGAGACACTTTTAGGGGGGCGGGGGTGGGAGGGGAGGGATTGGGGTCAGAATGGGGGGCTGCAATTGTATGGGGAATATAAAAATAAAATTTATTATTAAAAAAATAATAATAATAAAAAAAAAAAAGGACACCCGGGGTTTCCTATCATTTGTCATCCAGCAGAGACTAGATGACTGTCAAATATGCAGAATCAGACACCCAATATTTCAGCCACCAAGGAAAGAAAAACAATGGCTGTGAACAAAACAGAACAAGACTCAAGTATTAGCTTAATGCAGAGTAATTCCTATTGTAGCTGCTGTGCCAGATGTGGCCTCTTTGCTAGAGCAGAATGTCATGGCTGTGGGTGCGTGGTTTACTGTCATTGACCTCAAAAATAATCCAACTTAATGCAGACATTGAAAAAGTCTCAGAGGGAACAAAAAGCAGAAGCAGAGTCATTGATATTCACTCTAGGAGTTGAGAAAGTTGGCATTCAGAGGTCTAAATATAAAATACATTTTTTAAAGATTTATTTATTTATGCATATGGGAGCTGGGGTACAGGCCAGAGATATGGGGGGGGGGGCGGTGAGAGGATTCACCAGAGACAGAGTTGGAAACAGAATAGGCTGACTGAATGAAATACACTGCTGAGGGGAGCAGCAGGCAAGACAGCAGAGGTCTGCTGCGCCATGTGGGTTGCTCCCTGGTCGGCCGGGGATTGGACTCGTGCTGCAGAGGCTGCGGATTGCTTCATAGTGCTGTGCTTAACCTCTTGCGCCACCAGGGAGGCCCCTGAAATACATTTTTAGGGAAAGACTTGGCTCTGCTTTGTGAACTTACCTGAACATTGCAGTAGAACTTCAGCTATGAAAGAGAGACGTAGAAACAAAAAACATTAAGAAGAAAAACAGGACTTTTGAATGCAAAAAATTGCAAGGAAACTAGACTTTAGACTTAAGAAGACTTTGAAAAAAGTGACTCCCATATAAAAAAATACAACAGATTTATAAAAGCAAAAGCAGATAAAAGATTCCCCAGGAGCTGGTCTGTCTGTGGGTTAGACTACCAGAATGGTCTAATACTGTGGGATACACCACCGTACCTCTCAGTAGAGTGTATTTGGACATCAAAATTAATTTTCACATGATGTTTGGTAAACAGAGTCAGTGCCAAATAATTTTGAAGTACTCTTTTATTTGACATAGCTGCTAGGACAGAAAACTTATTTTAACTTACTTGCCCTTCCTGTCATATGAAAATATTTTGTTCCTTAGATACTATATCGCTCTTTTGGATAGTTGTGGCATACTTTCCTTTGGATTTCCTTTCTTCAGAGATTAATTTTATACATATTATATTTGTCCTGGCATATTTAGTCTTCAGGTGATATATGTGAATTCTATACAAAAATGATACATTCCCTATTTTAATATATTCATCATGGAAATGAATTTAAAAGTGTTCAAAAGCCTCTATTTGTATTATTAACAATAATAGAAAGTTTCATGTTTTATTTTTTAGGGGGAAATCTGTTCCAAGTAAAGTTGATAAAATTGACAATAAAGTTAAAAGGATTGGGCCACACTTAGACATCTTCCAAGTGTTCTGGGAAAAGAGCAAAGTACGTATTAACAAAAAAACAGTCAAACTGATCACCACCATGCAGGCCTTCGTCAGAGGATGGCTTGAACGCAAAAGATTCCGAAGACTAATGATCAAGGTACAGTTTATGGTAAATGTTATAATGTATTTAAAATTTACATAGACTCTAATTAAGCATAATTTTGCATAATCATCTGGTCAATATATCCATGATTTTTCTAAAGTTCTGTCTACATTTTTTGCTATTCATCTGGTCAGTGACATACTCATATTTTGAGAATCAAACCTGTCTGTCTGATTTCAGAGTCATTAAAATATTAGGCCATTCTGGTAACAATAGTGTTCAATAGTCATTGCAAAATGATGGCCTTCAATTAGACTCAAAATGGACATTGGAGTTACCTGCCAAAAGTTGAGGCTATATAAAACTCCCACATGACACTATAGAGTCAATTGGGTTATATGCACATAAGAGAGACGATGTGAAAAGACCCAGCTGCATTTCTATGGAGAAGCCCCAAGTCTGTTGCAATCAGGAGCTGCTACTAATATTTTGCAGAGTGCATTGAAAGAAAACAGATTCAGTAATGTGGTTGACCAAGAATATGTGCTTATAGTATCTTTACTAAGCAATTATAGTTAGATTGATTAAGCTTGTGCTTCAGGTCATAATAAAAATAATCATTCTAAATTGAACAGAGAAGTAGGAGACACGAAGAAAAGCCCTGAAAAAGAGAAGAACCAAACCCAGAAAAGAAATCCTTTAGCTATGTGTGTGGTTCCAGTGCTTCATTAATTCTTTAATGGGTGGGGTCCTCCCCTGGTGGCGCAGCGGTTGAGCGCTGGGTTGCAAAGCGCCGGTGCGATCCCCGGCTGCTCCCCGGCCACCAGAGGAGGGTCCCACATGGCGTGCAGACCTCTCCTGCTGCCCGCTGCTCCCCTCAGCAGTGTACTTCCTCAGTCTGCCTATTCTGTTCCCCGCTCTGTCTCTGGTAAATTCTCTCACCCTCCCGCGCTTCTGACTGTACCCAGTGCTTGTATAAATTAATAAATAAATCTTAAAAAAAATTCTTTAATGGGTGAATCAGTGATCACACCTAATAGTGTTTTTGTCTTGCATATTTGTAGGAGTGTTTTTGTGTGTATGTACTTAAGATAACTGTTAAGGATATTCAATTTTTATTTCATTGTATATAGATTTAGTCATTAAAATTTACTTTTTGTTTGGATAAGAGTTTTGAATGAATATTCCTCAATATGTTGTATGTAAGTGTTTAAGACAAGGTGAGAATTCAATCACTTAATATAATCAACATATCTATTTTCAAATCTGTAACAATATTTTTAAAGTTAAAAGGTCAAGTGAACTATAGAAAAACATTTGAAATTTTACATAATGGCTATAAATCTTAAGAGTTAATTTTAAAAAAAATGTTGGTGTATATAATAAGTGTGATGTTTGCTCTTTTATACAACATGAATTAGAACATTATAAATAATATTTTGCAATGAGATGTTTATATTCTAATATTGCTGTTAAAATAACCATTTGTACATTTTTTCTGATAACTTCTTATCTTGAAAAATGCATAGATATTAATGTGAAAGATTTACATGCTGAGGTGTATATAGAGCCATAGCTGAGGCATATTTGCATGCAAAACACTGGCAGAGAAAAGCACACTGTAATAACAATTACACAAGATACACCATTGTCATTTTCTCTCTTCCAACTTCTTAACTATGAAAAACTGCTAGACACCTTTCAGATGTCTCAGATCTGAAAAGACTTCCCTCATGAGACAGGCTGTGTCCTCAAAAGAAGATTTATTAAATTCAGAGTGAAAGATACTCAGATTCATATTGGTAACTGCCCAATGTCCCTTGAAGCAAATATTGTCCATCTAATTAACACTCTTCAAACAGGGACCTTTTGAATCATGCTTTAAAGGTACAATCAAAACACTGTTTGATTCTTAATGATAAACAAACAAACAAACAAGCAAACTACTGACAGATTTATCCAGAAAGATACTGAGTAGAATATTGGGTAGAGGTCTGGAGAACCAAGCTCAAAAACATGAAGGAATGATCAAAGCTACTTAGCTTCTAGGACTGTAGTCAGATCCTGCGCAGAAGGAACCTGATGCAGTTTCTGAAATCTTGGGTATTCTTGCCTTCACAAATGCTGCCCTTGAAAAATGAATATTGCTGCCACGGTTACTCTAGCACACAAATAGATTTCCCACTGTTTCACTTTTAAAAGCATTATTAGCTTCAATTCAAAACCTAGGGCTGGTGTAGGTAATGAATGAAGCTTTGTCATGTGTTTGCATCCTAGCAACAGAGGAGCCTGGGTCACGAGTATCTGATTTTTGGCTTAACATTGTAGGAGGTGAGCTTTGCCTCACACTAAGATCATACAGTGGGAATTGCTCCAAGTGTGTGTTCATTATTTCTTTTTTACATGAAAAGTGCCCACTGAACAGAAGATTAAAATGGCAAATTAGAAAATGTTGTTAAATGTTGAAAACATTAGCAAAATTCAGAATCTGCCATCAGATAAAGGGATATAGAAAAGGAAATTGTGAATAATGCTGATTTCATTTTTTCATTCAGGGAAACAGAAATATTATTGATATTGCTACATTAAGAAATATAGGCTTAAGTATAGTATTTTAAAACTTCAGAGAAGTACCACAACAACAATGATGAAAAAAATAAAATAATAAAATAACCTTTACAGAATCATAGGAAACAGAAAATAAATAGCAGGAGCAAGAATAATCATAAGTGTAATAAAATGAAATACATCAGCATTTGAAACTTACCAATAAATCAGGAAATAAGGACAAAAAATTTACAAAGTAGGTATCATAAATTCACATAAATTAAGAGGAGTGTGACTTATAATTTAAAATGTGGACTCTGTTGTGTCTCTCTGTTTTGCCTTTGAAACCAGTTCTGCAACTTACTTTGAATGCTTATTAAAAGATTTTTGTGTATGGAGTTAAATAATGATCTAATTTCATTTTGTTGCCTATGGCTGTCAAAGTTTCCCAGCACCATTTGTTGAAGAAGCTTTCCTTTCTCCATTGTGTGGCCATGGCTCCTCTCTTATATATTAACCATCCATGTTTGTGTGGGCTTATTTCTGGGCTCTATTTCACTGGTCTATGATTCTGTCTTTGTTCCAGTTGCATACTGTTTTGATTACTGTTGCTTTGTAGTATAGCAACAGTAGTATAGTTTGAGGTGAGGGAACATGTTACCTCCATTTTGCTTGTTTTTCCCATGATTACTTTATCTATTCAGGATCTTTTATGGTTCCATGCAAATTTTATTATTGTTTCTTCTATTTCGTGGAAAAATGTCATGGAATTTTCATAGGTATTGAGTTGAATCTTTAAATTGCCTTAGGAATGTGACTATTTTAACTATCTTTATTTTTCTGATCCATGAACACAAGAAATATTTCTATTTCTTTGTCTTTTTTTTTTGATAGTGTCAGTTTTTAGTGTGTATATGTCCTTCACCTTCTTTGTTATGTTTCTTCCCAGGTATTTCATTCTTTTTGGTGGGATTGAAACTGGAATTATTTCCTTTACTTCTCTTTGCTTTAATTTTTTGTTTTCATATGAGGATGCAAGAAGTTTTTAGGTAGTCATTTATATTCTGCCACTTTACTGTATTCATTGATTATTTTCAAGCATTTTTTGGTAGTCGTTTAATTTTTCCATGAATATTATATCATCTGCACAACAAATGTTGGCAAGACTATTTGGAAAAAGGAATACTTACCCTCTGGTGGCAGGAAAGTAAATTTTTACAGCCTATATGGAAAATAGTGTGGATATTCCTTAGAGAAACTAAAAACGGGAATACCACATGATCCAGTAATACCACTCTTAGTTATTTACTCATAGAGTATGAAAATATTTATTCAAAAACCTTGCACTCCTATGTGCATAGTAGCATTATTTGCAATAACCAAGACACAGACTCAAACTAAAATACACATTGAAAATGACTGGGTAAATTTTGGTATATATACTTAACAGAATACTACTCGGCTTAGTGTCTTTTAGTACACAAAATGGATGGATTTGAGGTGATTGTACTAAATGAAATGAGTCATAAACTGAAAGGCAGTAACCAGATGGTTTCACTCATGTGTGGAATATAAGTAACCAAACATAGCAAACTAGCAAACATAATAAAAGTAACTCTTAAACTATGAGAAGGGGGAGGTAGGTTGGGTGTGTGGGTAATGTGATAGTGTAATGTGATAGTGTATTGGAGCTTTGATGGAGAGTGATTTGAAGTCTATGCACTCATTGAGGTGTAAAGTTGTCCTCCCCGAATTATATAGCTATGTGAAAGATTAAAAAATGAATAAATTTATTAAAAATTAGATAAATTGATAAGATTTTACACTTCAGTTTTTTCACTTGTAAAAATGGTACGCAAAGCATGTTAAAGGAAAGCGAACTCAAAGGAAAATTCATAACAAATACAGTCCTTTCAAAAAAGAGATCATGATTTTTTTTAATTCAAGAAATCAAAAACAGGAAAATAAACTTTAAAAAGGAATTAATAAAAATAGTAGAGAAATTTATAAGCTAGGTAATGTTAAATGTAAAAATAGTTGAATTGATAAACTTGAACTGGCTATCTAGAAAAGAAAGAAACATGAAATAGATGAATTTTTATACTGTAATTTTTAAAAGTATATTGCCATCACATGTAGAAAATATTGTCACAGTTAAAAAGTAAACTGATATGACAAAATTTGCCTATTTGCTGAAATGAGTTCATTTCTTTAATACTCAATTTTTTACAAATCAAGGAGTAAAGTGTCCGAACTGTCAGTGAAAAATAGGTAAAAGACATGAGCATACAACTTTCAAAAGAAAGAAAATATATGGATTAAACAAGATTAGGCAAGAATAAGCCATTACAGAATAATGCCTTCATAAAGCTTTAATTTTTTTCTGGGTGGGCCGCATATCATAGAAGTCTAGCAGGTGTGTATGAAAGTTCCATTGAAAACCGTATTCCGTGGGAAATACGAACATTTGATGACATAACAACCCACAGTGAAACTCTTTGAACTTTAGGGAGATTGTCTCACCCTATAATGCATGTATTTAACCAAGTTAGCACAATAAATGTTAATAAATATAACTGTAAGCTATGAAATTGGGTGAGATAGATGAAATAAAAGCAATAAAATCAGATGAAATATAAATAATAGAAGTATGTAAGCTTTACTGTCTACATTGTTATTTAATAGGCTTTGTATCATGGACCAAATTTGAAAGCAGTTATAAAAATGTATTGCAAACTAATTCATCGTGTTAAACATCGACTTGGTCTTTGGAGAACAAGACAAATTATATGCTTACCAGAGCTCGAAGAATGGATGGATAGAAAAAAATGTAAGTGATACAGTCATTTCCAATTTGATTTTAAGTTAGGAATTCATTTAGCCATTTGTATTTTACATATAATTTATGGATAATGACACATAAGCTTCAAAGTTAGACCATATTTTATATTGCTGTAACATATTTGCATTTTAAGGTGATGTGTATTTGAAATAATTTATTAGCATCCTGTGTATATAACCAATAGAAAAGTTACTCTAGCTTACCAAAATCAAAAGGTAATTTGAAGGAAAAATATATAAGAATGATAACTAAAAAAAAAATCATGTTTCAGAAAGAACATGAACCCAAGCTGCTTCAGAGACCAAGGGAGCAAAATATAAGGGACAACTTTATTTGCCACAAGGGGATAGATAAGCTGCTATAACTTGAAGTCATTGTTCCTAAACACTGAATTGCGATTCCATGGAGAGGGCACATACTGGTTTAGCTTGAGTCATGTTTCAGTACTTTGCTATGGGAGGGCAGGGACCTTTGCTTACGTGTTACACAGAGACTGTGTCCACTGGGGAAATGGTACCTCCCTAAAGAAAAACTATAAATTAACAGGAGATCAGTTAATGGACATTGAGCATACTAAACAACAAATATTCATTATGTTGCTTATTGGTGGTGAAATTCTAGCCAAAGAACAAGTTCCCCAATTTATATATTAACTTTCAGAGAACCTGATTCTATTATATTTAATGAGTTCAATTTTGCTCAGAAATAGAATGGACATTACAGCCAATTTTTTGATTAAAAAAATAAATGAGGATTTTGGTTTTTGGTTCTGCATGTAAGGTGCTTGGAAATCAGCTGTCTGTTTTAACAACTGATACAAATGTTTTTAAAAAGACTGGAAAGGTAACGACTCTTCTTGGATCTATATGAAAGAGGATGACAGAAGACAAACAGCACACAAATACAGGGAGTCATGGCTGGCCAGAGCAGACACTTGAAAGAAGAAACTGATGTAGGAATCAGTTCTGGGAAGGAAAAAAATGCATCATAATTGATGTATCCTGGGGGTTCAGTGTGGACAACTCTCCAGAAGGATCCAGGCATGGGGCAGGGTAATCCTTTTGTGAAATTTGCCTCAAGAAACTCAATCGTAATCCCATAGTAAACACTAAAGAGAAGGAACCATTTTGAAATAAGCCCTAAATCTCTGTTCTTAACAAAGTTTGCCATGAGGGAGGGAAACTAGTTAACCAAGTTGAACCTGTTGGAATATTAGCAGAGTCTGACTGACCTGAGGATGGAAAATACCCACCTCCTGTCCACTCTGGACATTCTGTGCCCCCTAATAGAGGGATTAAAAAGCTGAGAAACACTTGTAAATTTCACAGTCCAGAGACAGGCAAACAAAGTGTCTGAGACACAACCATGGGTCTGTGGAACATTTCCAGCTTTCCTGTATGTGTATTACTAGTTGGGTGATAATTAGGAGCTATCTAGGTATCTTTTTAGGCATCTTTTCATTTGACGGGAAATTTTGTTAATTTTTATGGTTTAAGTTTTATATTATTTCTGACCCTACTTGTTGAGAATATTAATTCTCCTAGTATGTTACTTAATGTTTGCTATTAGGGCGCAATACATAGTTTTAAGGACATTGCTATCTATTAATAGAGTCGCAAGGTCACAATGTTCTGTGCTTCATTCTGATCTAGAGGAAAACATGTGAAACTGGTTAATTCAAGGAAAAATTAATAAAGGTATATATATTTATCTCAAGGAGAAATTTATTTCTTAAACATAAAAATAAAAAGTGACATTCTTTGGTATTACTTTGGGCTCCTCCAGAATCAGCCCTTGAGACAAGAATCAATTCTTGAGACAAAAATTCCACAATGGCTAACTTATTTGGGAGTTGATCCCACAAAATACTGTTAGAAATGGATAAGTGAGACAGAAATAGGGAGGAGGTAAAAAAAAAAAAAGAGTGCATTAACAAGCAGATTACCATATGGACAAGTGGAGCTTAATTCTCCAGGGAATAATGTAGCCAAGTTGCCTCCAGTGCTGAGTCTTTATCTACCAACTCCCCCCTGTTAGTAGTCCAGTGCCACGCCAATGGGGACCTTAGTTCTCTGGCATGTCTGGCTTACTGCACAGGTGGGCAGAGTGGACTGCTGCAGCCAGAGGGAGCCCTAAGGCAAATCAATGAATATGCTGGCAAGTCGAAGTCAAGTCAGCATGCACAGAAATACAGAGACAAGGAAAGCTGGATGGAGCACCAACAGTAACTGCTTTGGTTGGTTTGAAAGAGAAAAGGTCTAGCTATACTAAATTTATATTTACATTACTGCTATGCTTTAGATTTGGATAGCTAATTATATTTAGGCTATCACTAAATGTTTCTTAAATTTGCTGATGTCTCATGCCATCTTCCTCAGCTAAATGAATGAAGAGAAAGTTGGATCCATATAGTGAAGTGTCAGGATGATACATTAACCTCTCTTAAAGGTGACATTGGTGCCCTTTGTCATGGAGAAACTATATTTCAGAGCTAAATCTGTACTGAAACAGACCCTGTAAATGTAGATCATCCTGTAAATGCTGGTTAACAATTAGCTTCATGGCGCTAGTCCATCTCCAGAGTGGAGACTCAGCATCACCTTTTTGAAAAGAAAACGTAGTTTATAGAAAATGATACTTACAAAGTGTATGTGTCAATTCTCTTGGTTATTACCTAATCCCTGTTGAATGTCAGTTGTGAGAGATGGTGAAGTGAAGTCTGACTGAATGGTGTTCTGTGGTATCCTTGAGTCAGGAGTGGCAAGTACCTTAAACTGTGAAGTCAGTGGGTGAAGAGTAGATATAGCCCCAGTCAGGGGAAAAATCAGAACTAGAATAAATAGCTGAAAGTAGAATCACCATTCAAGTAATTAGAATGTAGATAGAAATAATAAAGATGGGGAAAATGAGGGGAACTAATGAAAAACGAATGTTGAAATGGGTCAGGAGAAATCAAAATCTTAATATTCCTAACCTTAAAGTTGTCTCAGGAAAGTGGGTTTACTTTCATGTGAGCCAGACTAGCAGTTACAAATGTTCCCTTTGATTATTTGAATGTGTGCGTGTGGGGGGGCGTGGGGGGTGGCGGCTGAGCACCCACAAACTTCTGCCCTTCCATAGGAAGTTGTTGCACCTCTTCTGTAATCATGGAAGCTCTCAGTCGTCATAAAAATAAAACTGGAGTTCAAATTTCTTCACATTCAGATTAAACTTTTGGGTGGTTTGTACTTGATATTTTTGATAAAGGAAATATTTTCCTTTAACTTTCTTTTGTCTTTGCAGACTATGAAGTGATGTTCGCTAAGAGAGAAGAATGGCAAGGAATAGAAAGAAACGAACTTCTCAAGTACTTCAATGACTGTGGTCATTTCCCAACTCAGGAGCAAATCGACGATATTTTCCATCTGGTCCACAGTGGTGAGGAGTTTTTCATTTCTTCTTTTCCCTTTGTTTTCTTTCCTTCCTCCTCATTTTCCTCCCTTCTCCTTTCCTTCCTTATTTTGCTTTTATTTAACTTGTATAGACATATTTTTCCTCAAAATTTTAAAGTATCTTTTTGTAATACATATTAAAGAAGAGATTTACAGGACAGATTAAAATAAATTCATATGATAATCAATTCGGGGGGATGGAGGAGGTAATTTTACCTTTTCAAAAGCTCTTGATGGTTTTGATATGTTATTTGTAACAGTATATTTTAAACTATCATATTTTAAATAATGATGCGAAAAGACTTTCTCCTGCATAGTTGGATTTGGCACTGAAGGATATAATCAAGTTTAAATGTTTAACCATTGCTAACTATTTAATACGGTAGAATTTTACATTTAGAATATAATTTCTGAAGAGTAAGTAAATGAAAAGGTAGTATTGCAAAGAATACTTAATAATTTAAATGAAACATTCCTTCTTCCTTTGAAGACATGGAGTGGAAATTGTCACCAGTATGTGGGAAATCTCAGAGCATTTTCCATGATTTTTAAGATCCTCCTCAGTGTTTTTATGTCTACACTGATGCTATGACTTGCTCTGTGCTTTACAAGAATGGGTCATGTATCCACAATGTAATTTAGAAGTAGGTAAACAAACCAGCAAGCATTTCAGGATCGCTTTTTAGTAGAAGAAAAGGATTTACATACCAGAGTGACAAGGTTGAAGCTTCATTATAGGTTTGGAGTTCTTTTCCTTCATTAGCTCTTTTTTTTTTTTTTTAAAGATTTATTGATTGATTGATTGATTGATTTTTATTGATTTATACATACATACATACAAGCACTGGGTACAGTCAGAAGCGCGGGAGGGTAGGAGAATTCACCAGAGCAGAGCGGGAAGCAGAGCAGGCAGAAGGACCGAAGTACACTGCTGAGGGGAGCAGCGGGCGGCAGGAGAGGTCTGCGCGCCATGTGGGACCCTCCTCTGGTGGCCGGGGAGCAGCCGGGGATCGAACCGGCGCTGCAGAGGCCACGGGCAGCTTCGCAACCCAGCGCTCAACCGCTGCGCCACCGGGGAGGCCCCTTCATTAGCTCTTAATGTGAATTTACCTAATTCTTTACCTGTGGACTTTGTTTTGACACTGCTGTATTCCTTGTATCTAATGAAGTTTTGTAGACTCTGAATATGTGTTTATTCACAGACTGGCAGGGGCATCCAAATGACTTTGTACCTCAGTGGTCATGACTAGTTTGGGTGTTTAACGTTTGTCCTGATGACAAAAACGTATATTTATTATAGAATTTTGGGGTACATATAAATATATATGATGGCTAAGAAATTGTAATTAATATTTGATGTTTATTTTCTAGTTCTTCTGTGAATATGACATTACTGTTTTGAAATTTGAGAATATTTTCTGGGTGCTTGACAGTGTGCTTTTTTGCTTAATGATATTAAGTTTCTAGGTAATAAACATCATTGGCAATATTATGACTGAGTAATAATTTTTCATATGGATGTTCCGTAATGTATTTACTGTTGTACTTTTAAATTATTTGTTTTTCTTTATAATAAATGCCAAGATAAATGTAAATGTGGCAAAATGGAATCAATCAGGTACTTCAGAAATTTATACTGATTAGTGTTACTTTTTTAAAATATAAGTTTTTTTTTTCAAGTTAACTGTTTCATAGAGATATTTTCCTCTTCTGATTATTTTGGAATATATATGACAAAAGTTTTGATTTAGAGCATGACTCTAGAATTAGCTTGCATGGGTTTAATTCCTGACTCCACCACACACTAGCTATTTGACTTGGGTCAAGTTATTTGTCTCTGCTATCTTATTTTCTCAAACGTAAGAGGAAGAAAATACCACCTAAGTCACTGGACTGTTAGGAGGTTTGCCTGAAATAGCTCATGTAAAATATGTGACCCATTTTAAGTGCTCAGTAAATGTTTGCTATTATTTTTAAATAATTGTTAAGTATGCTGGATAATTATAAGATTGCCAAAATTATTTTTTTATTTTAAAATTGTTTAAATGTTGAACTTAATTTTATAGTGATTCATTTTTATAGATATTTTATACTGAATGTGATCTCTTGCTTTCCACTGTATTATCTCTTTTGATTATCACAATTAGCCATGTGCCAGAGAAGAAGATATGTTCATTTTGCAGATGAGAGAACTGAGTCTTAGAAAGAGCTGATTAGTAGAGCTGGAACTTTATCCCTGGTCTCTTCAAGTGAAGGGTAGTGCTCTTTACATTTTAATATGTGGAGACACTTTAAAAGTCAATATTATGAAAACATAGATAGGTGATTAAAACATCCTTAAAAGTAAGCAGTCTTTCATTAATCTTCACAGCTTAATACATTGTGACATAGATTTTCCCTAAATGATTAAATCTGTTAAAATTCTTTTTAAAACTAGAATTTGAAAAGAAAATCTAGTTTAAAAGCATATTATCTTTATTATAATACCTAAAATTAGGAATCTTTCCTTTAAAGAAAGAAATGAGTCTTATATAATTTTAAATATATGATCAGTTATGTTGTTACATCCATTTAAAATATTTTTTGGCTCATAGAAAACTTTCATTTAAAATGGAAATATTCTAAGACAATGTAAAAAAATAGAAAAATATGAAAAATGAAGTTAATGGTTTTCTACTTGCTTCTGGTATACCACTTCCAGGAAAATATGATTTTATGCATTTTAGGTTGTCAGTCATCTTCATCATACTCACTTCTTTGATTGTGGGTAATAACTCCAGATGTGCAATCTACAGAAGTTTTCATCCAGCAGAATATTTCACCTAATGCATATGTAGTTAATTTAATTAACTTCTTCAGTGTATGATACCAAATAGGCCAAATTCCTAAAAGTGTCTATATGTGTTCTAATATTTTGAGAGGGTTTTTTTTTTTTCATTCTTTATCAAATGGTAATTTTTTTGTTTTTAATTGAGGGCCTGATATTTGTCTGAAAATTCTTCTTTGGGAGAATGAGTTAACTTCAGGCTGCCTATATAGGCTGATCTTAAAAATTGAAGACTATGTAAATGTGAGAACCTTTACTGGATATTTATTTAAACCTCAGTGATGAAACTAGTAGCAATAAAAATAGCATATGTGAAAACAATGGAAATCATACATTGTGGCTATATATTATTTTCTATTCTCACATGTACCTAATTTTTAGAAGTTTAAACTTTGATATTTTTCCATATCATTCCAACACATAAATAGAACTTTTAGTTTATTTCTACAATTAAAATGAATAGAAACTCCACAGCAAAGTCTATATTCACTATGAAGCCATAGACACAAATCTTCACCTCAAAATCATAGAAGGTTCTTGTCTGTTATTTAAGCTGTCATAGCCTATGCATCTGAAGAAACCAGGGCCTGAGATAGGATATGAATTATTTCAGCTTCCCAACTAGTTAATGGCAAACTATAACTGCAGTCTCGGCTTCTAACTCCTTGGGGCACAGCTTTGTCCCCCATAAGGCAGACAACTCTGTACTTTCTGCTGTCAACTTTTTATTTTCTTAGGGGTATGTCTGAAGAGCAAATGTTTTTAATTTTTATAAAGTGTAGCTCACCTATATTTTTCTGTTCTGGAGTAGATATTTAGTGTCATAGCTAAGGAATTTTTGCCTATCACAGGATAACCAAGTTTTCTATGTTCTTTCCTCGAAGTTTTATGTTCAACCTCTTGATTTATGTCTGTGGCCTATGTTTTTTTAATTGATTTTAAATGTTATAGAATAAAGTGTTTCTCTTACAGATAGCATAATTTGACCTTACCTTTCTTATGGTCTGACTAGCTCTTTTATTTTATTGGAGTTGTTACTCCATTTACATTTGATGCAATAATTAGTGTGGTTGGGTTTCTCTCTCCCACTTTGCAATGTTTTCTGTATAACTCATGATTTCTTATGATTTCTCTTTCCTCTTACAGTGCCTTCTTTTATATTTTGTATAAATATTTACACTGATTTTTTTTTTAAAGATTTATTTATTTATTTATACAAGCACTGGATACAGTCAGAAGCACGGGAGGGTGAGAGAATTCACCAGAGCCAGAGCAGGGAGCAGAAAGGCAGACTGACGAAATACACTGCTGAGGGGAGCAGTGGGCCCAGCAGGAGAGGTCTGTTGTGCCATGTGGGACCCTCGCTGGTGGCAGGGGATCAAACCAGTGCTGCAGAGGCTGCGGGCAGCTTCGCAGCCCAGCGTGCAACCGCTGCGCCACCAGGGGAGGCCCTACACTGAATTTTTAAAATTATATTTTAAAAGTATTTTAGTGGCTACTCTAGGTATTATGGTATATTTTCTAAGTTATTACAGTATTATGATCAATATTAAAAGAATTTAAGTTAGATATAACAAATTTACTTCAGTATAGCTCTGGACTTTCTCCATTGTGCTGTTATTGTCATATATAAATTTTATAAACCTTGCAATAGTTTATAATAATGATTTTATTTTATATACCAATATGTTTTTAGAGGAGTCAAAAATGTGTAAAATATATTTTTTATATATGAATATATTTATGATTTCCTGTGTTAATATATCTCTGGATATGTGTTACTACCCTGTGTCTTTTCCTTGAAACAGACCTTTTAGCAGTGCATTATTTAAATATGGAAATGTCATTGTCACCTTCATCTTTTTTGAAGGATAGTTTTACTATGTATAGAGTTCTTGACAGTTTTATCTTTCAGTGGTTTTGAATATGTTCTTACACTGCCTTCTGACCATCACTGTTTCTGATGGGAAATCTCATTAATCTCATTTCCCCTCTTACATCCTGGGTTGTTTTGTTTCTTTTCCTTTCACCATCACTTCTTTGTCTTTGCCCTTTAGCACTTCAGCTGTAATGTGCCTGGGTGTGGATCGTGAATCACATCATGTTCATAAACCTTAGGGTTCATTGAACCTCTTGGATTTGTGGATTAATGTTTTTCA